TAGAGCTGGTGGACGGTAGAGCTGGTGGACGTTACAGCTGACAGACTACCTCAGGCTTCGCTCTGTTCAGTAACCATAATGTGAGGATGTGACGGTTTCCACGTCTCATCGTCACTCTGTAGGCAACAGACACACAAAAGGAGGAAGCACACGACTCCCACCGGGGAGGCAGAAAGAAAACAAAGATCTGAGCAGCAGTTTTTTTGTTTTCGCCTTTTAGGTTCATGTTTCTGTGCAGCATAAAGTCCTGAAGGAGGAGCGAGAACTCAGACGTCTGCTGTCAATTAGAATGACAGAAAGAAAAAGTAATGTCTTTATTATTTACTGGAACCAGCCCGTCCAGCGTTCGTCCTCAGGTGTTCCCGACACCAGAACAGATCCTGGAGGCTCCGCAGGTTATAATGAGTTCAACGTTTACAGCCTCTAATGGGACACTTCTGTCTTATTTCAGTTGTTTTGTGTCTCGTTTTGCTCTTTCTGCATCTCGTTTTTCTCTTTTTGTGTTAAGTTTTTTTGCTTCTTCATATTTTACATCTTGTTTTACTCATTTTGCGACTCATTTTACTCTCTTTGCATCAAATTTTTCTTGTTTTTTGTCGTTTTTTCTGTGTTTTGCGTCGTGTTTTTCTTGTTCAAAGTCGTTCTCTGTCTCCTAACTGTTGCTTCATGTCTGCATGTTTGGTTTGTTTCTCTGTCTGCTGCGTTTCATCTCGTCTGATGTTCCACCATCAGATGTAGAAAGATGTTCCTCCATCAGCTGAATGTATCTCCACCAACGGGCTCCTCTGTTCTCTGGTTCTGATCCATGTATTTATGGATCCAGATGTTGGATTTTCCTCTCAGTCTCTGAATCAGTGGTTCTAGTTTTAACAGGATCTATTTTCTGCTTACGTTTAGTTAATTTTCTGATGGAATCTCTTGTCGCACACGACACCGTCAGAGAACATCTGCAGGAGGAACATCTACAGTTTGTTTCTGTTGTTCAGCTTCCTGCTCTGATAATCGGTGTTATTTCAGTGATTTCTCTTAAACAGAGGAGACGCGTCTGAACCCTGCCGGCAGGTTTAAAGTCCTGAGAGTTAAAGAGAAAAATGCCAACCATGTGTCCTCTGACTTCCTCTGAAGACAAACAGGGAAGTTCACCCTGAAATTAGTTTACACACACGCTAACACGCTAACATGCAAACACGCAAACACACAAACACACACACGAGCACGGAGACAAACAAGCTTCTCTTATGCAACGCTGCAGCCGAGGTAATGCGACGCCGCAGCACACGAGTGGAATCCGAGTGTTTGAGTGGAATGTGGAGCTTCTGAGTGTTTCCTGACACCAGACAGACCCACAGCCAGCCGGCGCTGTCAGCGCCTCCATGTGCTGCTGTTGTGTTCGGGTTTCAGGCCGACCCTGTTTACGTGGACTCACCTTGGCTCGGGCTCGGTCTCAGTTTGCTCGGAGATCCGCTGCCGGCGCTCTGCCCGCCTTCCCCCGCCGAGGAGCCTTCGGTCTGGGCCGGTCTGGGCCCGGGGCTGCCCCGTCCCGGAGGTCCAGTCCCCAAGCCCGGAGGCGGCGCCACTCGGCCCGGCGGCTGCTGCTGCTGCCTGGCTCCGGGCCCCGGCTTGGACGAGACTTTCTGCAGAAAGAGCTGATGTTTAGTGACGGCGTCCCAGCCCAGCGGCACCGACACCATAGCGTTTGCCATTCCAGAGTCAGAATGTGGAGGGAGGGAGGCAGAGGGGGAGGAGAGCCGAGGGGGAGGAGGGAAGAGAGGAGGAGGGAGGAGAGCCGAGGGGGAGGAGGGAGGAGGAAGCAGAGGAGGAGGGAGGACTGGGAGAGGAGGAGTGGAAACAGAAAGAGGAGCTGCCTTTGTGCTGAACACTCCTCCAGAGGATCTGAGCAAACAGCAGCACACATGGACTCGACCAGCACAAAGCCAGTTCTGGAGAAGTTCCTCCTGATAGATGGTCAGCCGTCTACAGCTAAACGCAGCAAAATAAAGTTTGTTCTGAAGAACTTTCTTCATCTCATGACACTACAGATGTTTAACTATTTACAGCCTCCAAAAAACTCAGTTTGGTCGTGTTTAGCATCTTGTTCTTCATACTTTGAATCTAGTTTTTGTCTTTCAACGTCTAATTTTTCTCTTTTTCCATCTTGTATTTCACATTATCATCTTGTTTTTCTCCTTTAACATCTCCTTTGTCTCTTTTAGTTTTTCTTATTTTTCCCGTTTTGCATCTCGTTTGTGTGAACAAAGCAGCAAAACACAGTTTGTTGTGAAGAAGTTCCTTCGTCTCAGACCTCAGCAGAGCTACAGGAGTTTGGACCAGAAGTTATTCAGAGTGTGAAGAAGACTAATGACTGTAAACAGACGGTTTTCATGTTAAAGGTGAACAAATGCACGTTAACAGAACAGAACTTTTTCCAGAAAAAGCCAAACTAGTGGAAAGAAACACAGCAAACCAAGCTGTTGCTGGATTTGGCTGGTGTTTGTTATTTCCGTTCTCAGAGTTTCTGTGTCGCTCGTTATTTTGGCGGCTGTTTCGTGCGTTTTTCTGGTGAGTTTCTCTGGTCCGTTCAGTCTTTGTCCATCACCGTGTGAGTCCCGTCTGGGTTCCTGTGTTCTGGACACCCGGCTGAGCCTCTGATCGCTGCAGCAGACGGATAAAGTCCAAATCGTGTGTTAACATGCGAGCTGGCAGATGAACCTTCATCAGAGCAGAGCAGCGGATCAGCGTCACATCGTAACATGAAAAATCTGATTCAGTGAGATGCTAATGCGACTTAGGAGGTGACCGGCTGACTACAGGAGCCTTTACTCGCTATAACAGAACACTATTTATCCATCGACGTCATGCAGAACACCTGGAACCAGCCTGTCCAGCGTTTGTCCACAGACGGTACCGACACCAGAACAAACTGGAGGCTCTGCAGGTTCTGATGACTTAAATATTTACATTTCTACAGCCTCTACAAGACAGTTTGGTCTGCTTCCAGTTGTTTGTTTCTCGTTTTTCTCTTTTTGCATCTTATTTTTCTCTTTTTTTTTCTCGTGTTTTGTGTCGTCTTTTTCTGGTTCGAGGTCGATTTCCGTCTCCTAACTGTTGCTTCATGTCTGCGTGTTCTGATTATTTCCCTTCTGGTCCATTTTATCTCATGTTTGTCACGTTTTTATACATTTTATCCACAAAAATTGCAGAAAACTTTCTGGATTTCTGTCCCATGAGTGCTGGGTGCAGCTGAGTCGCTGATGGATTCTCTATTGAGTTGAGGACTTTAAAATTTTCTGTTTTTTACAGAATCTGTTGAATGTAAATGGTTTATTTTTCTCCATTTTTAAGCGAAACCTGTGGAGCGCAGTCATTTTGACACACATTTTAGTTAATTTTCTTAATGAAGCTGACAGTCATAAGCGAGCAGTTCATGGGTTGTTGGAAAAATGAACATTTTAGGATTATTTCTGTTTTTACAGTTTTCAGATCCGACAAATTGTTCATTTTTGGTGATTTTTTTTTTTAAATGATGTAAAATACAGAAATGTGATCATTAGATTAATTATCCAGATAAGTCCGGGGCGAGTAGCTCCAGGTTTTTATTTTTATTTTTCCAGTTTCTAGTTCTGACACACGCTGTATTATTTTAACCTGTCTTAGCTGCAGAGGGTTAAACAGGCGATGCTGGTTTATCGACGACCTTTCAGAGTAAAGGCGCAGCAGCTTCCATTCGCTCTAATGCGACGTGTGAGTGCAGCTCGTCTGTCTGGCTGATAAAAGCCTGGAGGCGGCTCAGAGAATCCGTCAGGGCAGGTCGGAAACCTTTAAAAACACATACCAGAGTCACTCCCTGCTCTGAAACAGACCCGCCAACAACGTCGACATTTATCCGCTGAGTGACGTTTTTATAGGCGAGGCTGCAGGAGACGCACCCCGACGTGATTCCGAGTTTAAATCACCAAAACATTATCATGAGTTTACAGTCATTTGAAAGACACATTATAGATTATCAATCAGGGAAGATTCTGTAACGTTCTGTTAAATTACAGACAGTAAAAAATATCACTAAAATTTACAAGAGAACTGCAAAAAAATCAATAAAAAACTGTCCCCATCAGATAATTTGTTCATTTACAACATTTGATTTTAAATTTAGATTATTTTTACTATATTTGAACCAGAAAAATATATAATTTTTCTGGATTGTCTGGATGGTACATTTAAAAAAAGGTAAATATTTTTTAATAATAATTATCGTTTTGTTAAATTACAGATAATATTCAGTAAAATCACAGAAAAAAATGATGTTGATTCACTTCCTGATTCTAAATAAAAATGAAACTGTCCAGAGCAAAAATTGGGATTTAAGATTACATTAATATATGATATTTGAGTCAGTAAAAAATATATTAATTTACAAATATTTGCAGCCAGTGAAAGAAAAATAATCTGTCTAGTAATTTGTTTATTTATTTATTTTTTAATGGTAAATGTTTTTTTAAATAATTATTGTTTTGTTAAATGAAAGATCATATGTAGTAAAATCACAGGAAAAAATCTAGATTAATTGCTGACACTTAAAAACAAACAAAAAAAACAGCCACAAGAACAAAAACATAATTTTATAAAAAGTAATTTGTTCATATTTTACTAAGTTTGAATCAAAAATATAATTATTTTACGAATATTTAATAAATGATCTGTATGGTAGATTTAAAAAACGGTGAATAATGTTTAATAATAATGATTGTTTCGTTAAATGTAGTAACATCACAGGAACACACACATTTATTGAGTTTATTAACACTGATGTGTTCTCTGCCCGTGAAGCTGAACTGTTGGTTTATTTCCAGATGCTGCGTTCAGCATTAAATCAGGTTCCTCTGAGAGCGTCCTGCAGCATGAGAGCCTCAACTCACCCTGACGCGACTCCTCGGCTTCTCCATGTCCGTCAGCGGAGCTCCATCCTCCCGGTTCTGTCGGACCGCCCGGCCGGGAGACGCCTCGGAGCCCAGAGAGCTGCTGGAGGCCGACAGCCTCCTCTGCTCCTCGGGCTTGTGGCTCTTGGCTCTGATGGGTCTCAGCACCACGGCGACTCGGACCGGACCCGCCGTCGGCCTTTTGCCTCCATCAGCCGCCTCCTCCTTCCTGGAAGCTGCTCGCCTCGTATTGACCGGAGCAGCTCTGATCTGCTGAGGAGGAGACGGAGCTCACGGTCAGAGAAGAGCTTTTAAAAACCAGCCAGACCTCTTAAGGACCAGCTGGTTCTGTATCTACAGTAACCAGGTCCTTGAAGTCCACAGAGGAGGGTCCAGATTTATCACTCTAATGGACTTTTTCCATCATTTCTGAGCCTCAGAACTTCATCAGTACAACAGATAGACACATGACATTTTATTAAAATATATTTATTAAAAAGTGGATTTGTGTTGTTTAAAATTGTTCAAAAATTGTTTAAACAGACTCAGTTGGTCCAAAATTATTCAAAATACAATTAATCCAAACGGTTACCAGAACTCCTTCATCGTATCCAAACTGCCTCGAAGGCTTTAAAAAAAAATCTAAACAAATCTGCCTAAAACACCCAAAATGACTCAAAACGATAAAAACGAAAATGAAGTTCTGAGGCTCAGAAATGATGGAAAAAGTCCATTAAAGTGATCAACCTGGACCCTCCTCTGTGGACTTCAAGGACCTGGACCTCTGGAACATTCACAGTCTGAAGGTAGAACTCTGGTCGGTAAAGGTACTGCAGAATCAGAACCAGGTGTTCTGAGGAGGTTTCATGAGCAGAATCGTGCTACTATCGACAGATGTGAGGTTTCGGTACCTGACTGGGTGTTTTCGGTGGTGACTGGTTGCTTCGTGACCCGACGTTGGTTCTGGCTGTCTTCAGGTCCGGTTTGGAGACTCTCTGACCCGAGTTCACGCCGCTCGGCTTGGTTCTGGTGGCGGCAGATTTGGACCGAGCTACAGGAAGTGTGACCTGGGTGCTTTCACTCAGGTCCTCGGACGCCGGCGGCTCGGTCTGGGTGTCATCGGGCAGAACCGGAGGGCAGGCGAGCTCCGGGTTCAGCGTCAGGTTGATATCGGAGCTGACGGACAGAAACAGAGCCTCCTCGTCCTCGTCCTCGTCATCGTCGTCGTCGGCAGGGATCTCCGTGGCGTCAGAGTCTGGGGTCGAGGGGTCGTCGTTCCCATGGCTACCGCTGCTGGTCGTCAGGGACAACGTCAGGTTGTCGTTCCAGGCGTCTCTCCGGAACTCGTCGGCGTCCAGGTACACCGACACCGAGTTGTCGTTGGACTCTGTTTTTCCCGCCGAGACGTCGTCCTCTGGCGTGTCCTCCTGCGGCAGCCATTTTGAAATGACGACAGCGTCCGCGGTGGCCATGACGGTCGTCAGGGTGACCTCCAGCATGTCGTAGTCCGGTGGGCTGTCGGCGCCGCTCAGGCCGCGCAGCGACTCCGGCGAGGACGAGGACGAGGAGGACGAGGAAGACACAGGGAAGGCGTTCCCGTTCAGGTCGGAGGCGGCGGCGCGAAGAGGAAGCTTCATGCCGAAACCGTCGGAAACACTCATCGCTCTGATCGGACCGGAACACGCTCACAGCCGGCAGAACCTCCGGTCCATCCTGCAGAGGCCAGAAAACGCTGCGGCGGTTCTCTCGTCGGTCATCGCGTCGAGTTCAGAACCGTGAGGCCAAAGATCCGCCATTAAAGGTCCAGATTCACAAAACTCTGCAGGAGAAACAGAAACGTAGCGGTCAGGACAGTCAGACTCTGGTTCAGGAAGCGATCCCAAAACACCTTTACCTGTGAAGTCACTGAAGTCATTTACAAGTTTCCTGTTTTGTTAAATTACAGAATAAATCTAATAAAACCAGTAAAACCAGCATGAATCCACACGATGGCTATAAATAACGATCACATCAGAACCACAAGTCTGTATTTGAATTATAGGATTTTTACTGTATTTAAATCAGATTCAGAACCTTCTGCTCACAAAGAACCACCAACAGAACCAGCAGAACCAGCAGGAGGAACACGGTCTCAGCAGCAGCTGTTTCCAGCTTAATTACAGGTTTAAAGCAGGTTGGACGCAGGTTTAAATGAAGGTTTAATGCAGGTTTTAATGCAGGTTTTATGCAGCTTAATTGCACATTTAATGAACGTTTAATTGCATGTTTTATTGCAGTTTTTAAAGCATGTTTAAATGAAGGTTTAATGCAGGTTTGGAGCTAAAATTCTGCAAACTAAAAGCTGATCAGCTGATATTTTAAACCTAATTAGTTACTAAACTCATTTTATCCTATTTTCTGTTTAGATCTTTTCGGCTTCTTTAGTTTCATGGTTGTGTTTCAGAGGCTCTGATCCAGTTGGTCGGCTGCTGTTAGAATAAACTGGATCTGATCTGCTGCTCAGAGAAATGCTGCCCCCTGCTGGACGACACCAGACCATCACCCTGCGAGTCAGAGCCACTGAACGTGGACATTAAACTCTTTTCTCATCGCTAACAAGGCAGCAGCCACCCCGTGTGGAGCCGTGCGTTACCGGAGCGTGGATGTGAACCCGACACCAGAGGAAGTGGGTCAGGGACAAAGCAGAGGAGCAGAGCAGCTAAATAAAGACGACCAGAACCAGGACGCCGCTCCACTTCATTATCCAGTAATGACAGCCGAGTCTCCGGTGACTCGTTAGAGACTTAAACTGCTCATTAAACTCACGTCTGCAGCTTTCTGTTTGTCAGAATCACCTGGACCCGAGTGAACAGCTGCTGCAGAACAAAACACCTGCAAGAATCAGAACCTGCATCACCTGTGATGTTCATTTTCTGCTGTAACATAAAGTCCTGCAGCTCTGAGGAAGCAGCTCAGAGAAGAAAAAAACTGAACTTTCCTTCATTATGCTGCAGAACACAAAAACCTGGAATCAACAGGTCAGATGTTTTCACTGAGATCCGGTTACTTTTCCTGATTTAACAACATGTCACACGAGGCTCACTGAAGGGACGTCTGAAGCTTCACAGTCCAGCGATTTGTTCTGTTTTTACAGGTTTTTCTTCTGATGAATGTGGTCATTTTGGTGATTTTTTAAACACAAAGCAAGTCTGTAATAGCTATTGATTAGCTGAAAGGACGTGAAGCAGCGTGGAGGTGTTTCCAGTGCTCCCAGTTTATAACCAGCGGGTGGACAGAATCAGAACCAGCCACCTGATCCCTACAGTCCACCTGTGAATAATGAAGGAGCTGAGTTCATGTGAGTCGGCTCGTCTCGCAGGTTTTATTACCCGAGTCAGCTTCAGCTCACGTTAACGGCGAGCAGCAAACCGAACCAGCGACCTTCCTCAAGAGAGTAAATAAAACTGTCTGATACTGAGATAACAGCAATAACAACAACAACAACAATTGTAATAATAATAATAATAATAATAACAACAATAACGACGGTGTGAGCAGAGAAAACGTCTCCTGAAGCACAACAACGACCGACCAGAGTCAAAATCTGACGCCTAGATGAGAAACTGAAGGAAGTTTCCAGACGTGCAGCGAATATCAGACTGAAGCCCGACCACAGGCTGACCCTGAGTTTATGTCACAACGACATAAAAAGACATAAAGACACAAAAAGGACACAACATGACACAAAATGACACAAAACAGACACAAAATGACACAAAAAAGACACAAAATGACAGAAAACAGACACAAAATGACAGAAAACAGAGACAAAACAGACACAAAATAAGCCCAAAAAATGACAAAATGGCCACAATATGACAAAAAAAAAAAGACACCAAAACGACACAAAATGACCACAAAAACCCACTTAGAACCACAAAACAGCACAACAACGGAGACCCATCTCCAGACACACACAGCCTTCTCCCAGTGGCGGGCCGTCTATGCTCCTCCTGGACCTTCAGCGGGTCCCGCCTGAACCGAACCACCTCTGAACACCGTCATTTAGACGCCATGGCTCCAGAACCCACCAGCATGAGGCAGAAAGGCAGCAGAACAGGGCGGTGCACCGCAGACAGGGAGCTCACGTAGCGGGAATGAATGTCATTAACAAAGCTAGAAACCAGTTAAACAGTCCAACACGTCCCATCAGAACCACAAACATCACATCAGCTCCTCACCGGGGTTCCGTGAAAACACACGCTGTCGTCCAGACGATGCTAACGCTGCTAGCCGTTAGCAGCTAACGTCCTAGCTAACGCGGGAGTGTCGCTAAAACCCCCCGCTACGCTGTCAAAGGTTCTAGTGAGAACCTGCACATTTAGCAGTATCAGCCCAATAAGACGACAAACATTTATGTTCTGCTCACCGAACCTGTGACTACTGAACACCTTCTATCATCGTAAACAGTTCGGTCGCTCTGCTGAGCAGCTAATCCGACAATCGGTCCTGTTCTGTCTCCTGGAGGCTGACGCTGAAAGCCGGCTCGGTCCAGTCCTGTTTCTGGCATTTAAGGTTTAATTTAAGGCTGACAATGTCCGCTCGCTTAACTTAAAAAAAACAAACAAACAAACAAAAAACAAAACGTACTATTTTTACGATAAAGTCGTTAGCTAGCTTGTGCCGCTAGCTTTGGCTAAGCTCTCTGACCAGCCAATCAGAGGACGTGTACGTGCTGACGTCATCGTAGGCCCGCGAGCTGGCCCTGGGACCACCAACTCTCAATCTGATTGGTTAAAGCAACCGCTTCATTTGAAGCTACAGGCGCCTGAAGGCCACAGGGCAGACTTCTGTGACCCTGGCAACACGTGACGGCTGACATATGATTGGATAAAATAAAAACAAAGACGCTCTAATATGACATGAAAACAACAGACTGTTGGGGATAAAGTGAAAGATTCATGGGAACATTTTGTAACGCAAGTCAGTTTTTGTGATGAGTTTAGGCCAGCAGAGAAGGTCTTGCTGGCCCTGACGGACCACCACTGGCTTCCTACACAAGTCTGATTATTTGTCACACGGCGGTAGAACTGAGTTTTACGGGAACTAATCCAAACACTGAAGCCGTCTTCATGCTGCAGCTCTATAATGAATGATCTATAATGAAAAGCTAAAACACTGAGCGGCTCCTCTGAACGCTGAGGATGAGCCCAGACGGCTCCAACACCTGCATGAACCTGAACCAGCAGCTCAGGGATCACCTCCGAGTCTGTCTGACCGACTGAACACATCCTGATGGACTCGTGTCTGGTTTAGACGGTTCACGTTAACGCTGCAGCAGCGTTTCTGTTCCCACAATAAATAACGACGTTCCGGCATCCAGCTCTCAGCTCGAGACTCTCTGAGACCCTGAACTGTCCTCTGATCAGCCAGAATCAGGCTCAGAGCGCCGGCGGAGTGAACAACAGGGTTAATCCTCCGTTTAGCGGCGTGAGGAGACGCCTGTCAGGACGGCTTTCCTCTGCTGGACGCACCGAAGAAGAAAAGCACAAAGAGGAGGAGGAGGCCGAAGCAGCAGCAGCCCCCAAAGGGGACCAGCAGGTCTGGATCAGCACCCAGACAGAAAACTGCACGAAAAACATGAAAATCTGGAACAACTACATTAAAGAATAGAACAGAATAAAACTTTATTGTTAAAAACCTGTAAAACATCTTCAGTAAAGCCGTTTTATTGTCACTTTTTTTTTTAAAAAGCACAAATAACTATTTATAAGAACACAGATTGTTGTCCATTATTTCTATTTGAATTTCCACTTTTTTCTGTGATTTTACGACTTATCTTACAACAAAGAGAAAGTCTGTAAAATAACAGTTAAATTATTTAACATTTTCAATCCTTAACATATACAGAATTTTTCTTCCAAATAACATCAAATATCTGTAAAATAATCTATTTTTATGTATTTTTTCCTACTTTTATTGGCAATTTAACAAAAAACGAGAAAATCTTTAAATAACTGTAAATATTTAATTATTGATTAAAAAACCAATAACCCTTAAGATACGTAATTTACCTTTTAAATAACATATTTTCTATTTTCTATATATTTTCTAATTTAACAAAACAGGGGAAATAAAATTTCAAATAACTGTTTACATTTTTTTTAAACCATTTTTCAACCTTAACGTACATAAATCTGTGGTGATGCACTGAAGAGACCAGTTCCCACAACTCAGAACAAAATGAGCTGCAAGATTAAAAAACAAACAAACAAAAGTGATTTAGTGATTTAGTTAAATTATTAAAGTTACAAACATTCTTTCTGATTTGTTCATTAATAACGTTGCATCGACTTCATGTTTAGTGTAAGACTGGAGGCAGAAAAGCAGTTTTCATTCATATATCACAGAAATTCGTCAAGCTGGACTGATTTCAATAACTTTATGTGAATTATTTGGGAAAATGGTTTCAGATGTGGAATCAGTTCATGTTAAATGACTCAGATCAAACAATTCTTGCACTATTATTACATTTATTCCTTTTCAGGTAGATTTGAGGTCCAAGTTTTTGCAGAAACTGGAAAAAAATACTTTTCTCCCACGTTAACAGTCATCGTGGAGCTTTTATCCCAAAGATGCCGAACACTGTACCAGAGCC